CTGGAGGAGTAGAATGGATTCGTTACTGCTGCAAGGAATTATTTCGAGCCTCTCAGTGTGGAATTGTCTCTACTACTAACTCCTTGTGGCCACCAGTCTAACGCGACCGACCACTGCACACCCTCTGAACACCTCGCGGTTGGCATGACATTCATGTGACTGCGACCAGGGAGGGAGAGGTCAGTTGGTCGGCTGTGGCTTCAAGTCCTGACATAAGGCTGCTACATTGCAGGACGAATTCGCCTGTTTCCCGACTTACTGGTACCGTAACCTTTGTCGTGAAAATCTACTCTGCATTAGCTGGTCTTTATGGAACGCCTTTGTTTTACAAAACAAAATGCCGGTAATTGAACAGTCCATCCAAAGTAATCAGCTCTTCCTCATGACGTGCAGACGTTCTGTGCATCAATAGCAGTTTTAATTTTGTTTGTCGCATAATCACGCTTCTTTGGTCACCGCCTTCCATTCGCACTGGGGCATTTATTTTAAAACAAATGCGTTCTTTAAAGCCCAGCTTATGCGGGGTAAATTTTCATTTACACCACGGCTGACAAAAGTGATAGAGCGCATTCAAAAGGAGGTTGAAGAATAAACCTAATCACGGTAATTTCAAACACTAATGACTGCGACGCCTAGGATTCCCGCACTCCTTTTCTGCTCCGCAGCCTATCCGTATAACAGCATGGCCGATTATATGTCTACTTTGTAGGATTTCTTGCCATCCGATGTTTGGTTGAAGCTCCACTTAAATAGACATCAGTCAATCCTCAGGTCTATTGTCATCAACATTGTACCTACTTATACCAAATCAAATCCAACGGGATGTCAAATGTCGTAATGTAGTCTATGCATATCGAGTTGATGGAGGTCAGGTGACGCAACTCATGGGACATTATTATCGGCTTCATGCTATCCGGATGAAAACTGATGTAATGCCACGCCTATGTAGATGGAATTCAGCATATTCTTGGGCAGCATACCTAATAATATGCCTACTCCTCTGCATTTCTTGCTGTCTGTTGGTTGAATGAAGCACTGGGTAAATGGATTTCGGTCCATACGCAGGACCATGTCGTCAATATTATACCTACGTACACGGATTCAAGGCCAACAATATATCGAATAGCGTGTTTATATTTATGCATATGGATTTGATGTAGGTCCAACGGGACGTAGCTCAAAGCGCATTTATATTGAGTTCATGCTAAACGGGAGTAGACTGATATAGTGCCACGTCCACCTGGATGGAGTTCGGCCAATCCGTAGGGCAGCATCCTTAAATAGGCCTCACATTCTCCTAATTTCATGCCATCCGTTGAATAAAATGAGTTCCATTTAAGTAGACATCTGTCTATCCGAAGGTAGGTGTCATCACCATAAACCCTAATTATATGAATGAAGGGACTTGTTTCATCGAATAACCTGTTGTACACTAAACGAATATGACGTACGGAGGTCAAGGTACGCAACATATAGGGCATTATTATCGATTTCAGGCAAATCGGATGTCGACTGTTTTGTCCATTTATATAGAATTTGTCAAATCTGCTGGGCAGCATGCCCAATAGTATGTCTGCTTCTCAGGATTTCTTGGATCGGATGGTTGACAGAGGCTCTACTTAAGGCGATTTCAGTCTATCCGCAGCATTAGTAAATTTGTTTGCCTCTCGGAATTTCTTCAACACAAAACTCGACATTAATTCCGTGTTAATAGGTCTAATATGAATGAGTTAGACCTGCTGCCATTCATACATATTATTAGGTGTGTTGCTTTTTTTGCGGGAAATTATGCGTACGCACACCGCAGCACATTTGCTGTCAGCATGCGTACGCGTGGCC